CTCCGCCACACTCTAGACACAACAAACTTCCCCCCCCACTTAAACCTCGGGAACGCTACCAACACCCATATTATAGAGTTTTGGCCTTGCGGGGGGCCCGCGCCCACCTCTCTTTTCAATATATAAGCCCCCAACCAGGGGGGGGGGCCGCGCGCGCGCGCACAAATATACAGGGTGATTTTAAAAAACTAAAAGACTTTTTTTTCTGAATATCTCGCACAAAACTTGTATTTGAATGTTGTAATTCGGAAAAAATATAATTCGCCAAAAAGGGATTAGTTTTCGGAAACGGAAAAGGCTTTTATGAAAACAACTTACAGACGCAAAAGGAATCAATTTAAAAGTTCTAGGACGGAAAATCATGAAATGAATGTTTTGTTTTTTCCCTTCCCTTTCTTGTTAAGACGTAATCTTTCCATCCCTGTAACATAATTTAAAACAATATAATTTCTTTTCTCTTAGAGAGTTTTCAAAAATGTAAAATTCTGGACATGCGCAGAACAAGTGCTCTATATGTCCTTCTTTGGACTCGCACATTTTAACGCGTCGTTCGTAATGTTCAGTGGTGGCCAAACACAAGGGTCCACCCAACCATGAGTACTCAAAGCCACACGCACTGTGCACCTTACAGTATGGAGTTTTTTTCCAGAGACAATAGGGGGGGGGGGGTTAGGTGGCCAAATAGACAACATTTTTGGAGTTAACGTATCTTGAAAGGTGAATATGAGTTTTGCCAAGGATTCAAAAGTCATTGAGGAAATGTTAACGCTTTTCAATACGATGGGGGAATCATGAACACGTGACTATCCTCTGATACATGTGAGCTTGGCAAACAGGAAAATGGTACAGACGTAGATGAAAATCTACTTTGAGAATGCAGACCGTTGAGATGTAGATCTAGGAAAGTCCAAGCTGCAGACACTGTCAACGGACAGACATCTCATGGGGCTCATCTACGGAACGCTGCACCCTGGTGACGTTTAAAGGGGTGCGAAAGGTATGTGTTCGACCTAAAGTGTCTACATGACCTAACAGATGGACCGTTTTTACTACCATTGACATCAAAGGAGGCCTTAAGGGGGGGGGGGGGGGGGGTATAAACCTATCTCGGTAACTATGACCTTTCTGATAAAGCCTGATAGCATGGAGGTATAACAGGAAAACATCTCTAAAATGTAACTTACGGTTACCATGGTAACGGCGGCCATATTGAAAATCAAAATCTTTCAAAAAAGTAAAAAGGATTTTTTTATTTACCAACCAGTCAAATTTGGTACATTGATAGATATACTCAATACAACATTTTCTACAATTGGGATCTTGGATATCTTGAGTAGGAAAAAAGTTAGTGATTGATAACGGACCTTCCCCTTCATGCCTCTGAATTTGATTACATAATCATCCATGTAACTCACCTACGAATGTATTGATTTGATTTTCCACCTGTATAAAGTTAGGTTTTGGTATGAATAAGCCCTGAAAATTTCATAGGAGTCAAATCGAAAATAAAAAAGTAGAAGAGAAAAACTATCAAAAATTAAAGTTTTGAGGGAAAAAAACGACATTTTGTTATGTAATAGGCAAAATAAAAGTTCTAGGACGGAAAATCTGAAAGATGATGATTGTTACACAAACAGTATGCATTTTTTAGATTTACAAGTGGTTATAAAGTATTATAATACGTACAGTGATTTCTGACGTTCCTTCATCTATAATTATCACACCGGCTCGTATAAAAATCGCTCCTGTCAAGAGGTGGAACTTATCTACGTGGGGCCTATCCGAACAACACCAAAGTTTCTCTCTTTCCGTTTGTTTTCTAGTACATCGTTGAAGAATTTCTTGTTCCGTGCCTATCAAGTCAGTTCATATCGATATTTCAGTGGCTTAAATCAGTCTCTTGAATCTCAGATTTACATTTTGAAGTTTGTAACGGCGTGGATTTTCTTCTACTAAACCCTTTTCATATAACCCCGCCCCGTTCTCTCTCTCCCTCTCTCTCTCTCTTACTCTCTCTCTCATTCACACCCCCCCCCACCCCCTCTCTCTCTTTTTTTTAATTTATTTTTCTCTCCCTCCGATTTTCTTGTCTCTTTTCTTCCTGTGTATCCCGGGAAAAACACAAAAAGAGGAA